CAGTAACTACCTTCACTATTTTAATGATGTAATATATATACTTTTTATAATTTGTATTTTTAAGATGAGAATTTCTGGGTTTTTTTTTTTCAAGTGGGATTTTTTTTATTTTCTCACGAGATTAAAATTTAAGATTCACCTGAAGAAAATCCACCCAGTTTATTTCACCTAAAGAGTAATTAACCACCCTAATACCCCTCTTACGTAACCTAACCTAACACCTAACTTAACCTAACTACCAGGTATTAACTAAAGTATCTACTCATAAAATTAAATAAACTAGGGTGTCTAATCTTTACTTAATCTTATATAATTAAAACTATATAGAATTTAATCTAATAAAATTCTATCAAACGTAAAATATTAAGATAAAAAAAAATCTACTGCAAAATAAAATCGTATCAGTGGCTAGAAAAAAATCATAACAAATTCATAAGTTATCGTTCAATTTTTTAGCAAGTTTCTCATATTTTCTCGTCTGTTTATTTTCACCAACAAAAATAATTTAACTTTGATATATATTTTTTCTTTGGAGAGAGCCAGGTATTTTACTCACCTGTACAGGGTTAATGAAAGAGAGTTATATCATGTTTGAGTAAATCTAATCACAGAATTGTAATAATTGGGATTATTTCAGTGATTAGCCAGTCAAAACTAATGTACTATGGTTATTTCAGTGATTAGCCAGTCAAAACTAATGTACTATGGTTATTTAAGGGATTAGCTAGTCTAAACTAATCTCAAATACAACTTCAGCGATTCTTTCAACGCTTACAATCAACCAAGAAATAATCGTGCCTAAAATCGTAACTCCAATGATTCTTTATAAACAGACTCAACCAAAACAAGTCTAAGTAGGTCTTTATGTACACGGTGCCAACATTGTGTGTGTGTGTGTGTGTGTGTGTGTGTGTGTGTGTGTGTGTGTGTGTGTGTGTGTGTGTGTGTGTGTGTGTGTGTGTGTGTGTGTGTGTGTGTGTGTGTGTGTGTGTGTGTGTGTGTGTGTGTGTGTAGTGTAGTGTAGTGTAGTGTAGTGTAGTGTAGTGTAGTGTAGTGTAGTGTAGTAGCTAAGGATCATCCTCCCTCACTTTACTCAGCCGCTCACTTACCCACACTACCCACACATAACCCACACATTACCCACACTGCCTCAGGTACTCACTATCAGCTGGACGGTGTTATAAAACGAGGTTATCGGCTCCCAGAAACTACCCTAATGGTCCTTAAACTGGTGACACACACACACACACACACACACACACACACACACAAAGTTATATTCCCCTCTCAGTAAATAGTCAAAATAGGACCCAGTTTTAATAGGCCCCAAACTAGCATTTATATAACCATTAGGATTGAACTGCAGGTCATATAGATCCCAGTGCTAAATAGAGACTAGTCCTAAGGGGATCCGATTCTAATGGAGCCAAAATAAACGGGTTCCAATTACTCGAAATGGCAACATTCATTAGTTTTCCTTGAAACATTATAGAAAAAAATATTAAATTCTCATAATTCCCCATAAAATTTCAACTAATAATTTTGGTTGGATAAGATTCATTTAAAATACTTCAAATACTTATTTTATTGTTGTGTTTTATTAACTTGACTGAATATGTTGTTGTTGCTGTTATTATTATTATTATTATTATTATTATTATTATTATTATTATTATTATTATTATTATTATTATTATTATTAGTATCATTATTATTATCATCATTATTATATCATTATCAACATCATCATCATCAACACCGTAATAATACCCAGATACATTTCTCGTTCAACTTACACCACCATAATGGACGGTGGAAACCCGCTGATGACGCACTAAAGACACAGACAGACATTCACAGTGACATCACATCGGTAGTTAAGGAGGGGGATAATGACCAATGTTAAGTGTCGTCCAAAGGCTCACGTTTGGCTGATAATAATTGTCGTTAGGATGGTGCCACAGCCAGAGCCATGGTACTCAAACGTACAGTCATGGCACTCATACACAGTCATGGCACTCATACACAGTCATGGCATTCATACACAGTCATGGCACCCATACACACAGCGATGTATTGTAATGGTAAACATACGTTGTTCTTATGTATGTTTATGGTGCTCTCTCTCTCTCTCTCTCTCTCCTGATGCTTTAAACAGATCTCAATTCCCCTTTAACCTGTATGTATTTGATCGAATCCTTTGAAGCATTATCAGTGTGTGTGTGTGTGTGTGTGTGTGTGTGTGTGTGTGTGTGTGTGTGTGTGTGTACTCGTTCACAATGTATACTTGACATATCAGACATCCCTTTGTTGTTGTTTGATTTTCTGATTGGGCCACTCAGATAGTCAGTAAATTGTGAGTCAGTAAATTGTGATTGCTATTCCTTGCCTTTCTTCAACATGTCCTGATTGACAAAGGAAGTCGACTGATGCAGAAGTTTGTGTTTGTTGGTATTTGAGTCCTGGGTGTGTCTGTCTGTCTGTCTGTCTGTCTTCTTCTTCCTCTTTTTGTTGTTTTTGTTGTTGTTCTTCTTCATCTTTCCTTATTTTCTACTTAGGCTACCACCACCTGCCTCACCTCTCTCTCTCTCTCTCTCTCTCTCTCTCTCTGCTCTCTCTCTCTCTCTCTCTCTCTCTCCCTCTCTCTCTCTCTCTCTCTCTCTCTCTCTCTCTCTCTCTCTCTCTCTCTCTCTCTCTCTCTCTCTTTCTCTCTCTCTCTCACGACATATAATACCCTTACCCATCCCATAATACGCCAAATTTATGTCCCTTGAAGGTGCAATATTGAGGGTGTGTGTGTGTGTGAGGTAAGGAGGGGAGGAGGTGTGGAGAGGAGAGGGGAGGGGAAGGGTAGGAGGGGAAGGGTAGGAGGGGAAGGGTAGGAGGGGAAGGGTAGGAGGGGCAACTGGGTCTGAACTAGCTGGGTACAAGACGAGGCAAGCGACCATCACCCACACAAACTACTCATTTTATGTTCCTTGGTGTGGCGGTATATCTAGGTTTCGATGATGCTCGCTAGCCACTCATACCGAGGGAAGAGTTTAGGAGCGATGAAAGATTGAGAAGGAGATCATGAAGAGTTTGGATCACTTATACTACAACGGGGAGGAGGGGGTGTTATCGTTTTGGTGTGCTTCTTCTTCTTCTTCTTCTTCTTCTTCTTCTTCTTCTTCTTCTTCTTCTTCTTCTTCTTCTTCTTCTTCTTCTTCTTCTTCTTCTTCTTCTTCTTCTTCTTCTTCTTCTTGGTTGTATTTTGCAGGTATAGGTATTTATTTGAGGGATGTACCTGATGATTAGATACCATAGTTTATGTTACCTGAGGATGACAGCTAAAATGTTATCATCATCATCATCATCATAATCATTTTCTTCCTCCTCTTCCTCCTCATCATTATCATCATCATCATCATCATCATCCTCTACCTGGTGTGGTCGTATCTCGTTCGGGTCAGACTTAAGGAATAGGTTTACTTTACCTGGACTTAGGCTTGTGTACATCTTACCTGACGGCTGTAACGCGGGTAGATATTTTACCTCGAAGACGGAGGAGAGAGAGAGAGAGAGAGAGAGAGAGAGAGAGAGAAAATATAAACCAAACACACAGAATAAATTATCCCCGGAACTAACAGCTAAGAATAAAGTCATCTAATGTTTGTATTGGTTTAGGAAGTCAGGATGAAACTATCAAGATCACTCATCCATAAAACTCAAGCTTTTCCTGACCTAAACTGTCAAGGAGATGGTGAAGTGATGTCATATAGTAAAAATAATACTAACTTACTATCCACAACATTCTGAAAAGACGTCAAAATGTGCAAATGTTTCGTCTGGTTCAGTGAGGTAATGTTTAGAGCTGTTTTTATGTGTGTGTGTTGTTGGGTGTCAGAGTATAAGGTATAAGGTTGATGTTTTCTATAGATGCTTGAAGAAATACAATAGACGATAGGGTTTCCAATGAACGTGAGTAAAACAAAAGACGAGCGGGTATATGGGTGGTGAGTACAGTGACTCTGGTAATATTGGTGAGGATAGTGATGGTGAGTGTGGTGAAGGATGGGGATGGGAGGGGGATAGGGAAAAAGGAGGATAGAGGGAGGGAGAGTACAGACAGACATACAGTACCTCCAAAACCACGATTTGTTTATCACCAACGTGTGTAACTGCGAGGGGTAATACATAGACGCATATAACTAGCACTAAAGAATCTCATTTGACTGCTTATCTTTCTGAGTCACTTGGGAACGATAGGAATGACTCATCTCTCTTGAGTCACTTGGGTACGATAGGAATGACTCATCTCTCTTTAAACCGCTGAGTTGACTAAAATCGTCTGGCATTAACCAAATCAAATATTAAAAGTGGCGGCTCCGTATAGTGAAGAGGTTAATAAATTTCGTTATTGTGGTGAAAGTCGTAAGTATTTGTGATGGAATAAATTCTCATTTTATTAAGAATTTTTTAAGTCTTGTTAGCCTTGTTATTTGACCTCTCTGTTGACCCTTGACCTGACCTGACCTAACACTTGACTTGACCTGACCTTTGACCTGACATGAACCCTGGCCCTCGACCTGACCGTCAGACTGTGTTTGGATGCAAGATTAATTAGTGGACAAGGAATATCTCCTCCCGGTAATTGGTTACTCACTTCAGGGATTCTGACACCACCACCACCACCACCACCACCACCACCACCACCACCACTACCACCACCACCACACACCACCACCACCACCACCACCACCACCACCACCACCACCCACACACACCACTACCACCACCACACACACCACCACCACCACCACCACCACCACCACCACACACACCACTACCACCACCTCCACCATACAGCTTTATAAACAAATAAGATGAAGTAAAACCAATAATTTTTAATGATTTATTATTTAATTCTTTTTATTCTATTAAGCCCAAAACAAAAATCCCCCTCTTCCCACAGCACCAAATATATAGTAATAATAAATTCCTATTTCTTTTACAGGTGTTGGACTTGAGGACACTTCTACCTGTGTGTGTCTCAATTAACAGGTGATGTGAGGCGCTTTCCATCACCGTTTACCAAGTGAGGAGGAGTAGGAGGGAAAGGTCAGGTTCACTGTTGACCTTACCTGACCGACCGCCACCCTGATCTGACCTAAACTGATTCCTGGTAGTTCAGTAAATGACCCTTGAACTTATACTTGACCTGTGAGCTGAGTGGGGTCAAACGTGCTATTGACTGACCAGCTGATTGACTGCCCTGCTCAAGAGGTGTGAAATAATTGGATCATGATAACCTTTCTATTTGGTGTTAGTGATGGAACTCTTGTGTGTTGGGAGAGACTATAAATATGTGAGCTTATAATTTGAGAGACACAGGAAAGGGAAAGAAGAAACAGATAAAGTTGAATAAAACATCGATAGAAACAGTGAGACTAAAAAGAGTGAGAACTATAATAAAAACAAGACAGTAAATAAAAACAGAATAAGAAAAACAAAAACAAAGTGTAAACAAACCACAAAGTGTAAACAAACAATAAGGTATAAACAAACAATAAAGTGACATAAGCAAGAAAAAGAAAAAAGTATAAAAAACTACAAAAGTACAAGAATTTGAACCTACCTTCCCTAGACACTGTAGACAAACGAGGGACATTTAAGACTCGTGTGTGTGTGTGTGTGAGCGTCAGAACCTACCTGAAGAAGGAGGAGGAAGGATGGCGATCAACGTGGTAATCCCGCTTCTCATTCCCCTGGAGGAGAACCTCTATAATGGTAAGTACTTGTGTGTTAGTTTTATTGTTGTGGGTCCTGGGTGTGTCTCTCTCTGTGGCTGCCTGGTTACCTGTGGCTGCCTGGTTACCTGTGGCTGCCTGGTTACCTGTAGCTGCTTGGATACCTGAGGCGTACTTATTTACCTTCAAATCCTGGGGTTAATTGGTTTCCTGGGGCTACCTGGTTATCTGGGGCTGCCTGATTACCTATGACTACCTGGTTACCTATGGCTACATAATTATTTAGGGCTACCGTGTTACCTATAGGTCCCAGGACTACCTAGACCCTCACCTCCAGGTCCCAGGACTACCTAGCCCCTCACCCCCAGGTCCCAGGACTACCTAGCCCCTCACCCCTAGGCTCGACGGCTATATATATACCCCTAACCCTTAGGCCACTCCCCAGCTGGCTTTCATCAGACTGTAAACGACCGCTTGTTAGCTATGAACGCCGCCGGATGTGCAATTAACAATTCTACATTGAAAACATAACAGAAACTAGTCAGTAACATTTGCATATGGTTTAGAGAAGTTTGTTTCTGAATGTAAATTTTTTGTCGTCGTTTCACCTTTGTAAAGCTTGTTATATATTCATCAGGTGAGCTTAATTAATTTACCGTAAATAACCAGGTAGAATGTTTGGTAAAGAGGATTATGGTGTGTGAATGAGTTAATTGTTTTTGTTAGTTTTTCTGTTTTTTTTATATATATTATGACACATTATGGTTGACAGTGTGTGTGTGTGTGTGTTGGTATTTACGTCATCACACCTGTTTGATGATACAGGTGTTTGCCTCATCACACCTGTACTATAATGCAGGTGTTTGTCATATCACACCTGTACTATAATGCAGGTGTTTGTCTTATCCCACCTGTTCGATAATGCAGGTGTTTATCTTTGACTTATCATCATTAGCATCCAATATAACCTGTAAGTAACCAGTACAGTCGACTCTTATCTCCGGGTTAACTACAAGACATTACATAATCATCAATAACATGTATCTTATCTCCCTAATATATAATGACAACTTATAAACGATATATAATGACAACTTATAAACGATATATAATGACAACTTATGAACGATATATAATGACAACTTATGAACGATATATAATGACAACTTATGAACGATATATAATGACAACTTATAAACGATATATAATGACAACTTATGAACGATATAGCTATACGTATGATTATTTTCTTAATTGCCATCATCAACGGTAAATTACAATCACAATGACGTTATGCAGACTACCAGTATTTAACGGCGTGTGTGAGATAACTTAACTAGGGCTTGGTGGAGTTAGAACTGTTTGGGTGACTGTAGTGAATATAAACAATTGATACCTCTGTTGTCTCTCTTTGGTTGAGTTGTTTACTGTTTATCATTGTTTGTATACCTGTATTTGTCCAGGTGTGTTGTTTGTATACCTGAATTGACTAGATACATTATATACCTTGCAGTGGCTATATACATGGTGAACTATATACCTGTAATGTCTATATAAATGCTAAATCTGTGAGGGTGAACAATGGTAACCAATTATAAACAATACTACTCTCACTGTTCTTGAGCTACACTGAGAAATACAATACCATTCAAGATACAACGTTGCATTGTTCGCCATCCTGAGAAATAATGATAACCTCCGAATCCCGAATCTCTTAGTGGAGCCGTGTGGATAATCCCTCAACCAGGAGAGTCCCTAGACGCCTCAATATTCACACTGGCAGAGGAATCCAGGCTGCAATGTGAAAGTGAAGAGTGTTTGTTCATGCTTGCATCAGTGCTTTGAGTGACTGAGGGGGGGAAGGGGCGTGGGAGGAGGAGGAGGGATGGTAAGGAGGAATGGGAGGTGGAGGGGGGGGGAGAGGAGGAATGGGACGAGAAGTAGAAAGAGGAGGAACAGGGGGAAGAAAAAAGAAGGAAGAGGAGGAAGACAGAAGGAGGAGAAATGGGGAAGAAGGAAGAAGAGGAGGAGGAACGTGAGAAGGAAGAATGGGAGGAAGAGGAAGAATAGAGAAGGAGAAAAAGGAAGAGGAGTAGCGGGGAGGAGTGCGCACTTCCCTTCTTCCCTCTCCTTCCTCCCTCGGTAAAGGACTCTGAAGGACTTTCAACTTTTCCCGTGAGGACTTTGATGCTGCTGGTCGTCCTAGTCTCTCTTCGTCCCCTGCTGCTGGTGGTGGTGGTGGTGGTGGTGGTGGTGGTCGACTCTCAAGGGCGCTGCAACTGCTGGTTTCCTCGTCGACTTTATACAACTTCATAGCTATCAACATCATTTCATTCCAAACCAAACCTAACCAAACCTAACCAAACCTGTCCTCACCTGAATATGAATGTAAGATGATGAAATAAAAGGGAAATTCAGCCCAAATATATAAAATACTAAGAAGCTTGTGAATAGTGCATCCCTCAAGCCTCCTCCTCTTCTTCTCCTTCCTCCTCCTCCTCTTCCTCTTCCTGATCCTCCTCCTCCTCCTCCTCCTCTGTCATTAATCAAGCCTAACCTAGCCATACCAGTACACACACACACACATACACACTCACACACACACACACTCATGACCAAAGACCTCCATTTCCACAGTCAATTACACCCAGTTAAGCCAATCAGGTAAAACCCCCATCAATTAAAAAAAATAAAATAAAAACAATTAACCAACCATGAACGTTCACTTGCCATGAGATAAACAAGACCACGAATCAACAAGTATCAGAGAGATTCATTCACCTACCACGACGTAAACAAAAAAATCAACAAATCAACAAATCAACAAATCAACAGCTATATAAGCAACACGGCACAGTAATCAAAGGAGGAGGAGAAGAGCCCATGCAGAGACCACAGCACGGGGGAGTGGTTTGCGGGGAGGGGGATGGTGGAGGTGAGGGGGGTTCTATAACAACTACAACCGCTTGTAAACAGAGGAAAAAAGTTGTTTATTTATAACTTACAACTGAGATATGTTAATGAATTTACCTGAGATGTTTTGTTTTGTAGATACAGGTTAATTAAAGGTAAAATAAAAGAGGAAATAATGATGTTACGTATTTGACAACAACAGGTAAATAAACACATAAAAAACGATGATTTAAGGACAGACAGAGAGAGACAGGTACATATAGAGACAGAGAAAGAGACAGAAAAACAGAGACAGACAGAGATATAGACAGTGAGAATGACAGAGAGAGAGATAGACAGTGAGAATGACAGAGAGAGAGATAAAGAAAACGGGGAAATAAACAGAGAGAAAGAGAGAAATAGACAGATCCAGATAGACAGACAGAGACACACCTGTCTTACACTGATATAGTCAACTACGGTAGACAGAGCAGGAGGACCACGGGAACACTTAATTAGAACTGGAGCGAGGAATACAATCACCCTAACTAAATCTACATTCAAATTACGTGATTGTCAGGGAGAGAGAGAGAGAGAGAGAGAGAGAGAGAGAGAGAGAAATTGATTAAATGAATGAAGCTTTGAATCCATAAAAGGGGGAGGGGGAGCTTTAGTGGAACCTTGATATATAGGAGAAATAAATCAGTGTCAGAATTAGGAGAAGAGCATGAGTGACAGACAGACAGACAGACAGACAGACAAGCAATATCCACCTTACGAATCTTTTTTTTTTTTGAGAGAGAGAGAATATTGAACCTGGAGTCGAGTCAGCTACGGGGAACGAAGCTGTGTTATTTGCTGGTTGTGAGACTTGAGTCGAAGAGAATGGTATGTTGTTATGTTGGTAGGGAGTGGTGGCGGCAGTAGTGTTTGTTTACATGGTACAATACTCCCGTGTCTAAGAGGGAAGAAGAAGAGGAGCAAGAGGATTGTTATTCTCCCGTGTCTAAGGAGGAGGAGAAAGAGTAAGAAGAGGACTGTTATTGTTATGTTTGTCTTTAGTAGTGAAGATGTTATGAGACGTCTGTAGGTACTGGGAGAACAATGTGAGGTTTGATTAGAGGAGATAACGAGATGGGTGGATGTGAGGTGATGTAGAGACGCATAAAGAACAAGGTTGTGTAGAGTAACTAGGGTGAAGAACAAGGGGAACAGTGCAGAACATCTCCCAGAATAACATCTTAAGAGTAACTAGAGGATGAAGAACATTGTGAGGAAAAAATGTCTAGTCTGTTAGGATATTTTGTGACACACTTTGGTGAAAACTGATGAAGGGAGGAACGGAAGAGTGATGATGGTTCACTTGTGTGTGTGTGTGTGTGTGTGTGTGTGTGTGTGTGTGTGTGTGTGTGTGTGTGTGTGTGTGTGTGTAAGTAATAAAATGTAAATAAAAACATCAAAAAATATATCAGTTACTTTGGCTCAGTGGTCAAGGGATGGCTATACAATACTCACAGTGATTAGGGAAGGGAAAAGACTTGTGGGTTTTTCCCTTGATGTCTTGAAGGATCTAGGATGAGGAGGAGTATGAGGTAGGAGAGGGACTTCATCTCCACCCTCTTCCCCCTCTTCACTTCCAGGGAGTGTGGAGAAGAGCCAAGGTGGTAATGACGTCCTATCATGTTTAGGAGAACTTGTGTGTTGTGGAGAGAGAGAGAGAGAGAGAGAGAGAGAGAGAGAGAGGTGGAAGATAAAGTAGGAAGGGAGAGAAAGTAGGTGGGAGGAGCTGAGAGGAAAGGAAGTAGTTTTTGGAACTCTTATAGTACGGCTATAAAAGGAAAGTGTCTGTGTGCTAGTAGCCCTTGAACTTTCTAATGCTATGACTATAAGAGAAAGTGACTGGGTGAAAGTACCAAGGGGAAGTGACTGAATGGAAGTAGCCCTAGACTATCTAAAGCTACTGTAGGAATTAACTAAGATACTAACACGTAGACTTAACTTAATCACCATAATAAACTGTTAATAAAATCATCTACTGTTATGAACAATATTTTCGTAATTAATAACACAAATAAAAAACAACAATAATAATAACATGGATTTTTTTGGCTTTTAAATTATGAATAAATATTGAATGTCTGTATATCT